TGTTTGGGACAGGAGTCCATCATTTCTCTGGGAAAAAAAATAATCAGATAGAGCAGTGTTTCTCAAACTTTTAGGAAGCAAATAACCCCTAACTTCTAAAAATTTTAATAAGTACCCTAGCACTCAATTTCCAGGGGATTTTATATTTACAGACTAAGGTGTGCCATATGTTGGAAGAAGAGCTGTGTATATAAGGCCATGATCTGGCACGGCTAGGGTTGCCACCTTTTACACCAGAGATGCGCAACTCAAGTATGTATCTGGGGTAGAGGGGATGTACGGAAAGTTCAGAGGGCTGAACACCAAATTATTACTGGGGAATTTAATTTTTTCAATTACACCAAATTTTTTGCCATATTTTGAAGGTGAGAGAGAGTGTGTTGGGGTACCTGCGTACCCCAGGGGTACACGTACCACAGGTTGAGAAACTATGAGATAGAGGAAAAAGCCTTGCTTTGCTCTGACGGAAACAAAGAAGGCTGCCTGCACCCTGCGTCTGCTCCATCGCACCTCATTCACACCACTCGCTTAGAACAGAGCTACAGAAAAGTGCAAATATAAAACAGCCTCAGCTGGCAGCAGGGTTTAATGCACTAATGCTTCCTGTCCTGACCTTCAGGTCCCGACACTCTCAGCTAGTCTCCGCTGGGGAATCGGAGGCGATGCGACACTGTCATTGGCATCAGGATGCTCTTCTCACTGATGGGGACAACACATCTCCTGGAGTCAGGTGCACTGACGTGGAGGGGAAGTTCTCATGCCTCACTGGCATCAAGTCCATGCTGTTATTCTGGAGCCCGCAGCCACTGCCCTGGAAGGATTTTGGAGGGGTCCGATTTCCTCCCCGTCTCAACACTGCACTGCTGCAAGCCAAATGGAAGCATCACCGGGTTTAAAACAAGATAGATCTGAGATACAGAAATCATATAACTACTCCAAGTGGCTTACAATGGACACAGATCCGTGCTGTGTGAAATGCTTCCTCGCCCCTTTCTTGCAGCGAATATAAAGAGAGAGAGAAACCATCGTACCTCCAAAAATACCGTACAGGAAGTAGAGAGGCAACACTAAAAAACCCATGACAAACCACACGTTAATGCTACCATCCCGTCGCTTTCTCCGACAGCTTCACTAACTGCACCTGGCCTATAATATCCACGGGTGTAAATGAGCTTTAAAATGGCGACAAAAATATGGAAAACAAATGGTACCCACCAACGTTTTAAACATAACAGTAATATTAAGCATGAAGGAAACACAAGATTGTTTCACAGCAACTCAGTAAACACAGCGTTTTGGAGCAAATATTGCTCATGTAAATACAACAGGAAAACACACAAACAAACAGGTGCCTTCTGCTGGCAAGCACTCGGGAGATTTCCAACTACGTTGTTGTCAAGGCATTTAATAGGGTTCCACACTGATACAGAAGTCATCCGGTTTGGTCGCTATGGATACAGAACATGCCTGATTGGACAGATCTCCTAAAACGTTCTCATTTACCCTAACGAGGAGGTTTCATTTGCTAATCCCCTCAACTTGTGCTAAGCTCAACTAGGGGGCACTTGACCAAGGACATCAGAGAGACCTGACCAGTTAGCTTGCAAAGAAGCTTGAGTAAATACATGAATGGCGACATAAGCACTTACATCCAAGTTACTCAGTCCTCTCTTATCAGGATAAAGTAGCAGAAATTCAAAAAGCAAATTTAAAAAGCAATGGATGGCAGTGTTACTTTCATAAGATATGGGTGTGCTTAGTACCTGCTTAGCAAATGCCTTCACAAAGGACTCTTCACAGCGTAAAAGGTAACTGCACAATGCCTTGCTGAGTAACACTACGTTTACACTGTCTTCAGAAAAGGGGCATATAGGAAAGTCAGACTGGGAGGGACCCCACAAAGTCATCTAGCCCAGCCCCTGCTCAAGGCAGGATTATCGCTGACTAAACCATCCCAGCCAAGTGTCTGGTTCAACTGATTTTCAATTTTTCCAAGCACGGAGATCCCCTAGGTAGCCTGTTTTAATGCCTGACCACCCTCAGAGTCAGGAACTTTCTCACCTCCAGCTTCAGGGGTGTAGGCTGTAGTTGTGTTGGTCTAAGGACATTTGGGTAAAAAGCCTTGTCTGCTCATCTCCAGCTTAAATTTCCCCTGCTGCATCTTGACTCCATTGTTCCTGGTCCTGTCCCCCATGGCCACAGAGAAAAGCCCATCTCCATCTTCTCTATAATCATCCTTCAGCGATTTGAAGACTACAATCAAATCCCTCCTCGGGTTTCTCTTCTCCAGGCTCAATAACCCTAGCTCTTTTTGCCTTTCCTCATCAGTCTGGTCTCCCAAGCCCCTGAACACTTTTGTTGCCCAGCACTAGACTATTTCCAAGCAGTGTCCATGTCTTTCTTGAAGTGGGGGCCCAATATATAATCAGTCATCAGTGGGTTTAGGGCCTTCTTCACCACTAATCATGGCAAGACCACTAATAAACACTTTGGGGCCTATCTTGAGTATCTGGCACTGGTCATATGCTGTTTGTTGAACAGAGGGCTCTCCACCATGGTATATATGCTATGTTCCCACCCCGGGAACTCCACCCTTAGCGCAGCTATTCTGCATTTTGGAGCTCTCTCCTTCCCTGAGATGGGATGGGAGATTTTATATCGCTACTGCTGCTGTGAAAGAAATGCACTTGATCCTATGAAAGCTGAGGGTTTCAGCTGCCAACGGAAGCTCTCCAGAGCCAAAGGGCAGGCAGAGAACTGTCTCCAGCTCTCACAAGTCTCCTCCTTTCAGCTGACAGCCCCATTATTCCAGAGGAATGCAAGCGTTGGGAAGCCAATTGGAGAGACAGCTTAGCCCTTTCTGCTAACACCTCCAATATTAAAAATGAGAATCTGAGATGTAGCATGGCTTTCCAGGGGAAGCGTAAGTAAATAAAGCGTCATAGGTTCTCTGCTTATGTTGCATCAACCTGAAATAGCTGCATTTTTCATCCATAGTTGTTGCTGTTCCCAAGCACACTGCAGTAGCTGGGCCCAGAATTTAAACATGTGCTTACAGGGCCATGTCCAGGAGGGTATGATGCTATCCCGTCATTTGTTAACGGGACAAAGCAATAACAGCAGCTGCTGCTGTTTGGAAACCAAGGAAGAAGAGTCCAGATGGATGCTGTGAATGTAAATGCCCTTAATTGCTGGAAGGCAGGCACCTACCACTCTTAAAGGGGAAAAGTGGGCAGCTGCAAAAGCCATTACAATATCCCTCCCCATCTTACCCAGGTTAGGCTTCAACTAGCAGCTTGTTATTGAACGTTGTTCTCACTGAAGTACTTGGGCAACAATTGATGGGAAAGACAAACCAAGCCAGGCATCCGCATATTGCCACAACACCTCACAATCATCCCATAAAGCCAACCTGGCTGAAAAGCAAAGGCTTACTATCCTTCCCCTGAAAGCAAGCCGCAGAAATCTAGATTCACAGCTGCTGTTGTCTGCAGAGTCTTCAAAGCTCCTCTCCAACCACGGTAAACAGCCCTGAACTTATTTTCAAGTGTGAATCATTCAGGTCACAAACATAATGGGAAAGAATTCCAGATGCCAGTAAACATTTTCATTTAAAGACCTTCTAATCTACTGTGTTGGGCGTCCAGCATCGCGCAGAACTACAAAATGATCACAGTCCAATTTAAGAATTACAGCTGCCATTCATCAGTTAAAGGAACCCATCACAGTTGAATGAGCAGTTCTTTTCCTGCTACCTGGGCACGCTCGATTTCAGACAAGAAAGCTGCTAGGCATCTTTAATCCGATTTTGTTAAAGGCACTGTCTGCTATTAGCATCTTCAGAACGTAAGGGTATCAGAGACGAGATGTGACTTCAGAAAATGGCACCTATGGATTCAGAAACTAAAATGTGTTTGATGCTTCTGAAAAATACTTGCAACTTTTCTTTCTCGAGAAAGATTACCTTTCTAATGCTGATGTGAGTGCCAGGCAGCTTTCAGGGGGTTTAGAGATGGCACTGTCCACTAAGACTGACAATTGGCCTCAGCAAAAGTGTGCTATACATCTGAGCAAGCAAGAGCAATGGTTTCACGTCTTCAGGCTCCCATGAACTTAAAAAAAATACCCCACCAAACAGTGACAACCCATTTGATCTCAGATGGCTCGAATATGTTCCAAAAGGATTTATTCTGAGTTGTACACAGTATCATCTGCAATACACTGACACAGCTAGCCAGAGCAAGAGCACATTTTTTAGAAAGAACTGCTTTGCTTTTAGCCAAAGTGATGAAATACGAAACTTTGACAGAAGTAAATCTGAGCAACAAGTGAAGTAGATTTGGCCAACTGTATCCCGTCAAAGGAAACAAATGCTAACAGGTAAAATTGTGGTTAAAAAATCATTACGTTGCCAACAGGGACCACCTATTAATAACTTTGTTGAGAACATTATCAGAGTTTACACATGGTTGCTGGTAATAGGGACCATAACAAAGCATACACTTTTTTCTGCCACCGGGATTGTATTAATTAATACCAAATTCCTGTGGCTTAGGCTGGGAACGCCAACGTAATTATGCAAGCATAAGGTTTATGTAAGCATTCAAAATTAACATTGTTAAGAATCGTAATGGATTTTCATTTGATATAAAACAAGTGTTTGGAAAAAAAACACAGTCAGTAGCAATTTGTTACGCTAGAATAGGCAAAGCAGAGCTTACTCTGTCGTACACTTGAACCGCGGAGCATTTAAGCAAGAGCTCACTATGAGCCACTGTTCAGATGCAATTTCTGCATTTTCAGTTCTTAAAACTAAAATGGACATGTCTGGCCAGAGTGGTTTCCTGAAAGTAGGTCAAAGTACCCATTCAAGATCACTTGTGCATTGGTTTCCTAGCAAATTAATCTACCCACACAGATATACGCAACATGTCTCCTGGCAACAGAGAGGCATAAGAAGAAAGCTAAATACATTAATGAGGTAGCTTAGACCGAGTAACTGCAGTTAAAAGTTTTATTGAACAAAAGAAGGTAAAACATGGTAGTCTGAGTTCACTGAGCAAAAAGCAGCTCTCCCGCTGAAGCTGCACTTTGTGCTAAATAACCTTATTAACTGAGACTATACAGAGGACACGGAATATGCAAGTTCTCAACAGCAAAGGAGAAAAGGTAGATTAAATTTCATCTGATGGAACAATCTGATCAAATTTAGTGGCTTACATTAATGTCTCTAGCCCTTATCTACCCCAATTCAGTACAGGAGTACAACTGGATATACAGCTGTATTGAATTCCCATTTGTTAATCGTTTATGCTCCCCTTACAAGTGGAAGCAAATACCAGGGGTGAGAAAAAACAATGAACTAAAAAACATTAAGTCATCTGTTTGAATCGAGTTGGGGGAAAAAAAAAGCCTTTGATGTTCTAAAAAATCCTGGTCTGCACAGGGTCCACTCATACAGCATTAATATTTTTAAAATGATGATTTGATTTCTCCCGTCTGCCTAAGAAACTCCATATGCTCTGAACACATCCACAGAGAAGGGCAGGTGCACAGATATGTCAAAAATACTCTGTGAAAAGAGAGGGAGGTAGCTCAGGCCTCTTGGCAACCTTTTCTCCTCATTCGCGCAGGTGCAGGCTGCCTCCCTTTAGTATCTGCAGTTGAAGGTGAAAGGAAGAAAGACGCCGGGATCTGAAGTTGGGTAAACAGTTCCGTGTTGGTTACAGTCCCTGCCAATTTGATTTACTGGACTTCCTAATGTAAGTGGTAAGGTACCTCACACCCAGCACACAACACTGAAAACGTACATAGTTCATACATTTTATGCAGACGAGCTCTCATTTCTCATCATGTTAGACATTTGGCTCTGTGAAGTACATTGCGGCGTTTTTGTCTTAACCACTTGATAAACGTTGCAGGCCAAACAGACAGCATGGGTAACGTCCAAGTCCTGTGTTTTTCCCAGTCATTGTACCACTGGCTGTAGGCTAAGCCTAACAGATACTACTGAAGGAAAATAATAGACTCCATGATGCAGTGCAAAGGTATTACTACAACGTCGTAAATCAACGGATGTTTTTAAGGTGCTGAAAGAGGAGATTCTCTAGACGGTGACCCTGTGTTGTCCTCTGGGGGAAAAACAGTAAGAGTGCAGGCTCGAATACCGCCAAGCGATTCAGGGAGATCAAAGACCTTGTGCCACTCATCCTTTTCTGGGTCGTATTTCTGGACTATTTCCACCATGCAGCGATTATTCCATGAGTATCCTCCAACAACATAGATTTTATTTTCAAAGACGGCAACTCCAACATCACTCTGCCCACGGAGCATAGCAGCAATTGGAGTCCACTGGTCTAGGGTTGGTGAATAATATTCACAGCTTAGAACATCATCATAATCACTGGTCCCTCTAAAGTGATTTCCGCCAATAACGTAAAGCTTGTCTCCTACAGTACACATGCAATGCAGGCCTCTGACCGTCGTCATCGGAGCCTTCTGAGTCCATTTATCCGTGTCAGGGTCAAAGCACATGAGTTCCTTTTGGAAAGTATCATGGGTAATTCCCCCTAAAGAAACAGACATTAGTCAGTGATCCTGACCTTTGAATAAACAGTCACTGCAAAAATGCAAACTCTGTCCAAATGAAATGTGTGTAACTGCTGAAGCAATGAGCTACTTCAGGAAGAAGCATGCCAAGCGTAGGACTTTAAAAAGCAGGAAGAAGGCACTGGGGGGTGGTGAAGTACTCCCAGACCCCCACCGGCAGGGACCCTGCCTGGAGTGGCTGCGCTCAGAAGTCCATGACACTGCTCAAGCGCACACAAAACACAGCCCATGGCCCCATCCCCATCCTCTTCACTCGTATCGATGGTCAGCCAGCATCCATCTGTCTGCAGAACCAGCACTGCAGGGACCTGTACAGGGGATGGCACAGGTCCTAAGATGCCCTCCCTATGAACTGAGCTGGAGAAACACACGTTCAGACAATCCCCCTTTATTCATGCATCTAAAGGAGGCAATTTGGGCATTGGAAAACCCTACATAGGTGAGGTTGATTTTCAGAAGACAGAAAATAACTGCCTTCCTGCCTGATTCTGTGCTTCCAGAATTGGCCATCTCCTTCCCATTTAATTGGATTTCTGGGGTTAAGATTAAAGAGCCAGCCACAGCTTGGAGAAATGCAGGTGCATTTCACTGCTCACCATCCCAGCTACCACTGAGATGTGCACTAGTGTGTCTTTTACTTGCTTTTCCAACTGACAGGCAATGGCCAAGTGTGCCTGAGTGACCCCAGAAGTCCAGGGGGTCCCGTTACCAACACTTCGGCTGTGCTAGTGGACGCGAAAGGACAGATAACTAAGATACCCTTCAAAGCATGCAGAAATGCAAGAGGCAGTCCATCTGCTCCTGATGCAGCTTCCTACAGAATGTATGAACTTATGTAAGCATGTAAAATTTAGTCTGAAACTCAACCGGTGAACACGAGTTTTCCATTTCCATCCACTAGACAGATCAGCTGCTTTAAGATGACGCTTTCTCTTTGACATGGGTATTATGTAACAACATCACAGGTATATAAGCAAAAACTCAAGTAGAGGGCTAAAACCTAATATTAATTTGATTTAAAAAATTATCTTGCAAAATGGTAAATCCCTTATTTTGGCCAACAGCCAAAAACTTCCAAAAATTAAGAAACTTCCTAATGATAACTCAACTTATTGAAGCCAGCCTTTCATGTCCAGGCTCAGTCTATGACTATCAAACCAAATGTCCCAAAACTTCTCTCAAGTTTTTGGTCAAACAGCATTGTTAGAGTGGTTGTAGACAACACAGTGGACAAAATGCACAGGTTTTAGCTCCACTGTGGTCACAGGAAAGAATCGTGCTACTGAGGCCAATGGAAATTGTGACTCAAGGGTACACATTTAGAAGGAGCACAAGGCAAAAATATGGGCACAGAGTCTAACACACTGCACTACTTACAAAACACATATGGGGCAAGAGGAGATCAGGTAGGGACCATATACTGATTTGGCATGGAAACCTCTTCACTACAGAATAAATAACTGTGAGGTCTGACACCTTGCTATCTCAGCAGACTTGCTGCTCCACTATTAACCAGAGGATGAAAGTTAAAAAAAAAAAAATAGTAAAAGTAACATACTGTGGCTGACCTTAAAATATTTCCTGCTGTACCTCAGATCAGTAGATAATGCTGTCTCTTTATTCATAGCATTATCTCAACTTTCCAGCACTTACTGAGGTAATCAAGCCAAAATGGACAAGTTTTTAATAGCTTCTTCTGCATGACTGAACCATGTAGGTGTCTGAGCACAGCTGTCAGAAAAATCCTACTCTGAAGCTTAAAGCATGCAAAAGTCTGCAGTGCAATTCAAAGATGCTTAAAATATGAGGATCTATTAACAGGGGTAACCATCTAAAACTCTTTTTTGGAGGGTGAGAAACATATGTTATTTCACCAGTTTTGTACGAAAGACATGCAGCATGCAGACATATGACATGCAAAGAATAATTCCTTCTGTTTTCCTTCTGCCTCTAGGAAGAAAAGCTGTGTAGCTGAGTACACCGCGTGGACACATTTCATTCAACTACTTATAAGAATGATTTACCTGAAATATACATTAATCCCCCATACACTGTTCCTGCATGGCCATAGTGGGGCTCATTCATTTTTGCAACATAGCTCCATTCATTCATTCTTGGATTGTAACATTCCACTGTGGCTGTTTAAAAAAAAAACAAAAACCAGAAAGAATATAAAAATCATTAGATTTGTGTGTCGCAATTTGATTTTGAGTTAACAATAGACGCTCATAGAGTCATAAAAAGGCAGTACATCAGTGAAAACTGTTAAGGATGGAAGAAAGCTTCAAAGGTATGCTCAGATACTACGTCTAGTTAAAGGTATCACTAAACTTCAATATTTCTGTCCTGCAGGAGTAGCAGAAAAGAACTTTTACCCATGTTTCCCCAGTACAGGTGCAGCTTTATCTGCCACATCTCTTGGATATCTTGCTGAGGACACACATGCACGTGCACACACCCACAAAACACACACAGAGCAAAAAGAAAAAGGAAAAATTAAATTAGATGCAACTGCTTTTCTACTTCTTCCTCTGATGCCAGGCTCTTGTGCAACTAGAAATGGTGCAAACTTGAAACATATGTGCTTATGAGAGGGGATTTGAAAAGATTAGGAAATCTTAAGCCCGTCTGTCAGTCCTTTTTTCCCCAAACATCTCCCCACCCATGCACAGATGATTTCAAAGCAGCTTGTTTCTCTACAGCTCTGCATTAAAATGCTTTTAATGCTACCCAATGATCACCTGCAAGGACATTGGGCAGACTTGATTTACGACTTTAACATCCCCTTTGCAATGACAGTTGCTTGCTACCGTTACGGCCATATCTTGCGGCATGGGGCCCTTCACAGACACTCGACACAGACACAAGCCCAGATAGCTTTCAGGATTCAAGCTGTAGCAGGACACAGAGCAGACTCCTACTGATGTCAGTGGGCAGCCATGTGGGCGAAGGCTACACTTGGTGCCACTGTCTCTGGGGACTGAGACCTAATGAAGCATTTCAAGGGCGCAAGACCAGGGCAACAATACAAATGCATGACTTGTCAATGTAATGGATGCTTTGGAGGACACTGCGCTGTATGATAAAGAAACTACAATGTGCGTTTCCAAGGAGAAATAAGCTTGGAGAAGATGCTGGCTGAAGGCAAGCTGACTGGCTCAACAATGAAGTTCTAGATTTAGATGGCCAAGTAAAAGCCACAGAGGTGGCCCTAGGAGAAAGGCATGAAGGAAGTATTCAGAATAGCAGCCTGAGAAGAAGAACAGGAGACATGCCCCCGTGCTTCTGGGTGTTGCATATCCCTTAGTATCGTGATGCTGTAACACAGGATGAAGATGCTGACAGCCCATGCTGACGCAGCCTTGAAGGAAAGTTACACCTCAGTATTACGGTCCCCTCTTACAAGTACCACTTTCAAAATTCACACGCATGGGAAAAGAAATACGCCTGTTTGCAGAAAGGTATTACACAAATCCAGGGCTGGGTTTTGTTCAGATTTAGACAAGTGCTGAAAATCCCAGCCGGGTCTGTCTCTCCAGCCACCGATGTGATGCACAGCTATTAGGCTTGTGTGAAGCGGCTAGTATTTGCTTCCAATTCGGGAGGCAGCAATTCGATTCAGTGACTCAAATCACTGTCTCGAATCAATTCTTAGTATTCATGGATAACTCAGTGCCATAACAATGAGTACAAGGACTATAAAAGACAGTTTTACAAGTACACAGACTATTTTAAATAGACCAACCCATAAGACAAAGACCCATCTTTGGGAAAGCAACTGAGAACTGAAGGCCAGATTCTACTCATGTAATGTGAGCTTGGGAAAAAGGGGTCCCAATATACAGGACACGAAGCTCCCTAAATTGAAGTTAACCACTGCCCAGTAAAGAGCCTCTCTACTCTTACAAAACATAATGTGCCATTTTGTACCTCCAAGCAGTCACAACCCTGGCTCTATACAACAAAGATAAAACTTCCAGTACAACAGCATCTTGGACAAGTGATTCAGCTGAACTTAGGTGCAGAGACACATGGCTGTCTGAGGTAGGTGCTATTATATTCCCCAGCCTGCAAATACTGGTTTGCACTGAGCAAATGGTTATGGCTGAAGGGAAGCTGACAGTGGTAGTGGATGTAGGACACATATCCCAGCATAACTTTCTCCACTACAAACTTATTTTGGACTGCCTTTGAAGTAATCTCATGCCAGGGAATAGCATTTCCTCTGCACATCCCATTTCAGCTCCATTTCTCCTCTGGAGTAAATTACAAATACTCCAGAGTAAGTGCGTTCTACATCCACATTCTTAAAGGGTAATTTATCAGATATCTTTCCAATACCAGGTGCCTGATGCTTGCTGCAGCCCAGAGTCCTCTCTTACATTTCTCATGAAAGAAAAGACCAAGACTGATGGCTTAATTTACGAGTCTGAGAAGGCTACAGGTCAGGAATCCATAGCTGCAGGATGCAAGATGCTCAGGTTCACAGGTATGGCTTTGTAAGTCAATTTAGGTTTATGAAAATGATGAAATACCAGGAACCTTAGCATAAAATGTTTTGTTCTGGGTTTTTTAGCATGAGTCCCCTAAATTAATTGCTGCCAATGGTACCAATTCTTTTTGAGGAACCTTGCAGGATGGAAAAAAGTGGACACCAAACTAATTTGTAAATGGAGGTAATTTATATAAGCTGTAGCATGCCTTGCCAAGTCTCCAATATAGAAAAGGCAGCCTCAGATGATTATCTCCTAATACTCAAATGATTAAGATTCAAGTAAATCAATCCTTCATAAAAACATCTCCATAATAAAAATCCTTACCTGCTGTTGTACCAAAATTAAACAACTCTGTGACTCTGTAGGCAGCATTTATAAGACAGAGAGACCATGAGTGCACACATGCTCTAGCACAACAGAGCCCAGCCTTTTGGGCAGGCTTGCCACAAATTAGCCCTGCACACTCCCATGTTGCTCTGATCCCTTTCTTCAGTCTGCTGCTCTGCTTTCTGCTCCCTACCCTGGCTGCTACCATGCTTCCCTGTAGATCTGTTAAGTGCCACACATGGAAGCTGCCCATGCCATTTATGGCACCCCTGGTCTAACAGGTTTCATTTTCATACGGCCCAAAAGAAATTACTCTGTTTCATGATGGTGCTCGCTTAGATGCACCAAGATTTATGAACTGTACGCCACTGCCAGGAAACCCATCAGTCACCCGTGTCGATGCAAGCGTCAAAGACATGACTAAGCGTGAACACATTAGACTTGGTGTCAGGCGTGCAAGTGTCTTGGACAAAGACGGATAGGACGCTTTAATTCCTAAAACCACTGCTCTTCTCTTTCCGAGCAGAGCCACCACCCTTCCCCTGTCATTCCTCCACCAAGAAGGCACCCTGTTTCTGCCTATTTCTATGGAGACTACCACCAGAAACAAGGTGTGCAAAAACTTCTAAGAGCAGGAAAAATGGGCCTGAGTTGTCAGTGTATAGAGTGGTCCTAGGTATACACTCATGGATGCCCCCCCTGCCTACCTTCAACTGGTGTGATCTAATTAGGCATGCCACAGTCAAACAATATGCATTAGTCCTTATTTCCTTATATAAGCTGATGCATCTAGGTGCACAGGAACACCACCTTGGCCTTTCAGGATTACAACTTTAATAGTTGGGGGTTTTTTCCTTTTAAGTACAAAATTCAGTTTTGCTCTTCCTAAAATATAAAACTTTGAAGGCTCTTGGGGAAATTTAAGTATTAGTAAGTGATATTTACTCAACCAGGTTCTTAAAGACTTTGCACTTCCCTATACATCTTAATTTCCATCTTATTTCCTCAAGTGTAGTTGATTTCTTGGGGTTCTGCCACAGTCGTGTCAGCCTTATATTTATTGCACTTTGCATGACTAATTTCTAGCAGTTGTGCCAATATGAGTTATTTGTAAAATTTTCACTCAATTCTCTACCCAGACATTATAGAAAACACAATTTTCTCATTATGTCTTTTTATTTAAAGTTGTCATACTTAATTTTCTTGTTAATTGGATTTTAGGTTGGTTAACTACTACAAGCCTTTGAAACAGAGTTATCTGCTCAATGGATGAAGGCATCCCGAATTGGTAAGCGTGGGATGGAAAGGGCATCGGTGACTAAACTGATGCCATCTGGAGCCAAAAACCATTTTTTGTTCGTATGGTGCACACATTTACACTCTAGACTGCCATGCAGCAAAGTCCAACCCTACATGTTGCTAGGCCAACAATTTATTCTTAAAATTTTGCCTACTTTTTAAATGGACAAGAAGGTAGCTTAACCATTTACCTTCCAATCACCATATCAACAGCACCAAGTTTATCAGTCCAGTTAACTAAGTGAACAGTAAGTGGGGATTATCCCTTATAGTTTTCTCCCTGCATTTCCCTGCATGCTGGAGGGGGGGAAATATCTTTAAAAAAAAAAAAAAGAGCAAAATTCTAGAAAATCATCAAAGACAAAAGTAGCCAATAATTTACACAAGACAGAAGCACGAGTAAAAATTCAGCTAGTTGCCCACCTCCCTTTGTTCTTTTTCCAACCCACACAGCAACAAGTCCCATAGGCAGAAGGGGAATGGGGTAGATTTAAGGCACAGAAGAATAGGTAATTCATCAGGGAATGGCTTACAGAAACCTGTTATATCACTACAGCCTTTATCAGGTTATAAAACTTGAACTATTTGAGAAAGAACCATCCTCAGCTCAAGAATCCCAACTTTCTGGTGTGGTGCTACACTTTCCGATCAACATTTACACGGTTCACATTCACTTTGTGGGGAACACAAACATCTTGAAGATCACGTCTGAAAACCTTGCATTGGCTCCCACTCAGATTTTTAAAATTAAGTTGTCTAAAAGATTCTCTTTTTTCACTTTAATTGGCATGTAGTTACCGTCCTTGTTTTCCATGCATGCTGAGTCCATTGCTGCCTCTCAAAGGTCCCCACAAGAAATTCAGATATTCTCTGCTCCTTACATTGCATCATGACTGGATATCAATGCAGGCCGATACATCGTCACAACAGTACAATAATGCATATACAAGCAAGCCAAAATCCCAACTCTGTGGCAAGACTACACACAAAATCATAGCGATGGGAGAACTCCAACT